CACAGGCTTTTCAGTGCGGTAATTTTTAATTTGCATCATTGTGAGGCTCCGCCGCTGTGGCCGTCAAGAAGTGAAGTTCGTCCTCCGCGCTCATCGGCGCGATCGGCTCCTCGGTTATCGCCCGGCCAGCTCCTCCGCCCGCTTTTTGGAAATATTTATTTTACAAGCGAACGTTTTCCATTGTCGCACAGATTCGCGTTGCCGCAGTGTAGCTGAACAGACCCACAGGTTGAATGAACCCAGTGCGTTTCGTGTACAGAAACTGTAAACACGTGAGCGTCCCGGGCATTCTCAGCCCCTACAGGAATTCCCCCATAGTCGGGTTATAGGCACCTGTAGACACGTGTTTGTGGGCATTTCTATAGGGGTCTTTTAAGGGCACCGCGTGGGTTTAGGCACTAGGGTTTGTCTTGCTGTACCGTGATGTTTTCTAGGTCTACTCCAAAGCTCTTCGACATTTCTTAACATGTATTAAAACGTGGTGCGTCATGTGAAATGTTCAGATGTTGGTTGGTATAAGTATATTAGTTTTCGCCTGTCATTTGTGATTTTTGCTAGATGTAATTTTCTCCAGGCTCGATCATGGTTTTTTTTTTTTCTTCTTTTCAGTGCCTCTAATCAGTGAGTGTGAAATGAGTAGGAAATTCTGGCTCTGTTGACCTCATCGGCTACCCTTTACAGAAGTATTTCGGGCTGTTTTGGGTTTTTTTTTAAATAAATAGTTTAAGGTATTTATTTTAAGCGCTTGAGTTCCCTTTGAAAACTTTTATGTTGGCATGTATTTATCGGAGAAATATATGACGTGATTTCTCAACCCAGACCTCGGCACCAGCCGTGCGCTCTCTTCCCCCTCAGTAGAAGAGTATTTCCTGTCCGGGATGAAGGCCGTGTAATGGGACTGCATTGCCCTTTTCTTTTTATATGTAGAGTTAAATTAAGCAATTATTACCACCATGCATTGTTATAATATTTGTCCGGTACGGACAAACATTATGTATACCGAATTGGTACCGCTTCACAATGTTTGGCGCTCTTTTAAAAAAAAAGTTACATTTTTTTTCTGCCAAGGTGGTTAAACGTGCGGTTTCTTGTTATTTGCGACTAACGAAAATTCTCCATGTGGACGTAGCGACGCAGGCACTCGAAATTCACGAGTCATGTGGCGACCGGCTGGTAAAGCCCACCGCCGCAGCGTGTCCGCCTTGAGACCAGGGCTGTGTGTGGCGACACCTAGTGGCTGTGACGGGGGGCTGCACGGCCAGGGGTTAAACGGCCGAGACGCGAAAGGAATCGACGCCCGAGAGCCGCTTCCTTATTTAAATTGCCTCCTGTTGACCTTCTGGAAGGTAGATCCTGCAGTGGCGGGTCTCTTAACTTAAAATGTCACCGGCGCTGGAGAACTGGGAGACGGGGGAGCGCTGTGAAATGTTAACGGCCTCACGTCCTCGAGTGAGCAGGCTGCGAAACCATTAATTTTATGGCCGCGGCCGAAACCGAGCTCATTTAACCTGGAGAAGTGCGCGGCTGGGGTAGTTTCCCCCTTCTCCAGAAGCAAGAGAGATCCCGAGAGCGTGAATGAAATGGTACCGTGGGTTGAAAAGTTTGGGGTGGAGTGTGAAAAAGTGAAGGGAGACTGTTAGGCTTCACGTGGTCGCTGCTGTAGAGGCAACACCTCTGGGCGCTATAGGCAGGCTTGCCCGCGACTCTGAATCTGCTGTATTGCCAGACGACAGCGTCAGGAGCCGGTACAGGGTGCATGTCCCCTGTCCCAGGAGCACCCTGCAGCATCCTCATGGAATGTGACGGCAGGAAATAAGTTAGAGGGATGGAGGGCCGGGGGACAACGGGTCTAAACCTCATCTGGTTCCTAGGCCATTGCATTTGGTGATGAAGCCAGGCCTATCCCAGATGATTGGTAGCGAGCGTGTTGTCTCTTTCTTGGTGTTTGGGGCCGAAACTGAGACCTTATCTCCTACAGCCAGCATCGCCGTGGCGATAGGGATGGGAGATTGAAAGTTTGCGATTCATGGCTGAGGAAGGGTATAGGACCCCGCCTAACGCGGGCACGGTTTTTCCTTAAACGGCGAAGAAATCTCCTAGGACTCGGGTGGTCAGGTGGAGTCTTTATCAATAAAAGCAGCTTGCATATTCACATGATAGAACTACGGTTGTCACCGTGCTTCTGATGCGGCTACGCAGTCTCGCCATTCACGCCCCCTGTGACTCGGGTGCATTCTTTAGAAAACATCCCGGGCGAACGCGGGGCTACCGCAAGGCGGGCGACGGGGGGGGGGCGAGTCTCGAGGTGTTCTCGAAGCGGGTCAGGTCCCTGGTGCCCCTGTCTCCGTCTCGCTCCCGCTTGCGGCCGAGCGCGCGCGGGCCTGTGCGGCGGCGGCGGCTCGCGCCAGTGCATACATTATCCGGATTAGTATTCCAGTCAGGGCCCGGTCTCGAGGCAGGGCCCGAGCCCCTTCCGCTCCGCGTTCCGCTCCGCCTGGCGACCCCTGCTTTCCGCAGGCCCGGCCCGGCCCGGCTCACGCGCGCCTTCGGCTCTGACCGACACCGTCTCCACGTGAAATAAATAATAAGGGGTGCCTTATTTTCAAAAGCTTGAACATTTCCAATGCGTGCATCGGAACTGAAAAAAAGAGTAGTGCCTATATCCATTTATATATATATGTAGTGAGCGAGTCGTTCTGAGAAACCTTTAGCTGTGCAAGATGCCGAGTTCTGAAGCTCATACATAATTTATAGTGTAATTGTATGTGTTGATGTGGGGCCGCTTCCTGCGGCTTCAAGGCGCGAGAGGACGGGCGCAGGCGACACACCACGCGAGACAGGCGCTGTATCTCGGTCTGCCCCGGTCCCAGCCGGCCGACAGACCCCGAGACACGTACACCCGTGTGCTGCGGAATAAAAGGTACTTTAATAGCAAGTACAGTAGTATCCTTCTTGAGCAGAAACTGTCAGTGTTTTAAGGTGCTATTATTTTGTCGCCTTTTCGGCCTGTGTAATCTGTCACCTTTATGACCCCCAGAACACAATTCCCCTTCCATGTCTCATTTTGGAAATATTTGCTGCTCAGTGCTGTAATTGGGGAACATTGCTATTATTAGTATTATTATTAGTATTGTTGTTATAATTGTTTTTATGGTCGTTATTATTATTGAATTACTGGGAGTCGATACAAAGTACGCAAAGGGTGTAACTATTGTGGTAAAAAGACTCAGGTTAGACGTGGATCCGCGCAGAGAGCTGCTGTAGTTTCTGTACTGCACTGCATTTAGTTTATATGCGCATGGCGGATAAGCGCGTGTTTTACGAGCAGTTGAAATACTGTATCGGCCGGTATTTACTTTCGGACCACGGGCTTTGTGTTCGCGCGGCTGCAGGACGCCAGTGTCGGGCCTGGGCGAGAGGACAGGCGTGGGCCTTGTCACGCCGCGGCCTTGGGGCTGAGCATCCCGCTGTCTCCGGTGGGCTCGACGGCCGCAGTGACCGTTCAGCCGCCGCCGGCCCTGTGCGGTAGAAGCCCGGAGTATCGGCATACTGCTAAGCGGGGCTGTGTTGCCGTGCCTCTTGCGGTGCAGGCCTTTTCCACGCGTGAGCGAGACTGCTGAAGGACGCACACGCGCCGGGTGGCCCTCCGTCTGGCCTCGCTCGGACTGCACAGACGCCACGAGAAGCGCGCTTATTTTCCGTGGAAAACCCGCGCGTAGCCTGTAAAAACGCCGGGCTCTGGCGATCCCAGTCCTGCCCTTATACCGAATGTAGAGACGAGCATCCGAGAAGGTGCCGCACAAAAACTGCGCAGGCATTCGCTGGCGGTTTCATTTAGCCGTTAACGCTGAGGTACTAGTTCACATTGACATGTCCTTTCTTCGCATACTTTCATGTAATAAACTACACCAGAAGTATTCCCCCCCCCACCCACGCAGGCCTGCGTGAGCCGCGGTCGCAGGGTGTCCCTTTGCCTGAAACGTGCGCTCTGGAAGAGGGAAAGGCTTCAGGAATGTGTTCGACCGGCGTTTCCGATAACAGACAGTCGGGCCCGGTGCGCCCCTCGGAAGGAGAATTCTAGACGCGGCTTTTAACGTTAAATTCGCCCTTCCTGGTGGAGTGTCAATCTTTTTTCTCTGCATTCTCCAAACGGCAGAATGAAAAGGGGGAAAAAAAGCAACGACCGGTTTAATTGTGTTTTGTACGAGTGTGAGATTTTATTTTATTTTATTTTATTTTATTTTTACCGTGAATTATATAAACGTTATTGTTCTATTATTTCAGGTTAACGCCGTTTATTTTGTCAGGATCAAATACCCTATGTTGCCCTCATACAGATGTTATTTTGTTAACACCTAAAACGTTCTTGTTTGAACACGGTTGTTTTCAGCATTTTCGGTGTGTGAGTGTATGCGTTTCATAGCTTATACACCCAGAAAAATAACGCAGGAATTCACCAACATACAGTACCAGCCTCGGGAAACATTACGATCCGATGATTATCTTTTTACCATAACATCTGTGGTACATAAGTAGAGGAAATTCATTTAGGCATAAAAACACTAGATATAAGCCTTTTAAACATACATTTGCACAAATCTATCGTCTGTAGAACGTTGCTCAAGGTTTATCTGCGCTACCCTGATTCCTTTAAAAATACAGAATGACACGTTACTCCGACCGCGATTTGGGAACAAGCAATCCTGTCTCTAATAAGAAAACGCCGAAAAAAACAGAGGAAGCCGCAGAATATTGATATTAATCCGGTTAAAAGTCCACTTTAATTGCCCTATAAAAATAGGTTCAGTGCCGTGATAAATAAAGCACTTCAACAATAAAGCTCGATATTTATCTAAATCGTCTGTATACGAAAAGTCCCCAAACAGTTTTAATTTCTTAAAAAAAAAAACATTTATTTAAACGGGTTTGACCTTTTTCATACAACAAATAAAATATATATTGCCAATAAACCCTCAACTAAAAACGGACACCCCAAAATGTAACAACAAGTTCGATTTTTATTATTCCAACATACATATTTTAACGGTTTTACATTTCGTTTCCAAAACATAATACAAGGTTTATACTGAAAATAAATAATCGCTGGAACTGCCGTAGTATTTGGAATAAAATTGCTGAAAACTTCAACTTTTAATGAAAATAGCGTTTATTTTACATCACTAAGTGCATGAATAAACTAAACGGTCTTTGTTTAAATTAATAACTTCAAAAAAGTTTATTATACAAAACTGTACAATAGCAAATATTGGAAGAAATATTAAAGACAAATCAAAAGCTGGAACATTAAAGATTACAAAACTTTAGATATTGAGCGTGTACAATAAAATAATATATAATGGCACACAACGTTTTCGTATTGGGAATTATCTTATGGTTCTGTTTTTAATGCCAAATGTTTAACACAGTAATATGGTCGAGTATACTATCGGACTGCTAATCCCTTTTTTCGTTTTCCGTGAAGAACCATAAAACATTGCACGCCTGTGCATTGCTCTCTTAAATAATTGTTTTATTTTTTTAAAAAAAGTTGCTTCGTTGGTAGGTACCCTTGAGCTGTTGTATTTCTCCTGTGTTAAACCGGGTAGTAAACCTTAAAAGAACACCGAGGATCACGATGCTTCAGGTGAGAAAGCAACTGCGCAGCTCTTGTGCGTGTAATGCTGAAACGCAGAACCTAAAAAATATATATTTAAAAATATCCAGGTGCTAAATCTCGCTAAGTTGTTTGTACAGTACAGCTAACCGTATCAAGGTGTCTTGCGTGCTCACATTACACTGCTGTGAGGAGGAAGCGGTTTGTATCCACCAGCGCACGGAATTCATTCTCTCAGCAATGTGCAGGGAAAAAAAAAAACATTCGAATCACAAAATGATCCATTTTCCCCCCTATTATTCTTCCGTGTGGGTTCAACACCGTGAGAGGCGCGTAGATAGAGGGAAAAAAAACAGTTCAGTGAGTCTAACGGCAGAGCAGCGCACGGACAAAATTAAAAAAATAGAGATCTAAAATAATCAAATGATTTGGCTGTGAATTGTGACTGATTCACCTGATGTTGTGATAACCAAGGCGCTGGGAGGTTATTCAGAGGCACACGTCTGTATCGAAATCCTTGCAGTAGAAACGATTGAAAAATAAACACGTTTTCGTCGTTGCTGCTGTTCTAAACGGCGTCCCGTTCATGACTCGCACAAACATTGGTCTGCAAAGGTGTATTGCCCAAAAAACGCTGGAGAATAGAAAAGGGGGAAAGGAAGGAGGGAGGAGGGGGAAAATAAAAGGGAAACTTGGTTTTGTTTTTATTTTCTTTCGCAGTGTCCCTACTCATTTACCGTCGTACCGCCAAGGGAGCGGGAAGAGGGGAGGAGAAGAGCCCCTAATTGAAAAAGCCACTAGATTCCCATTGCTGTGGAAGAGTCTCGCGGGGTGAGTCCCGGCGCCCGGCTGCCGGTCAGAGATCGCGGCACGAGGAGCTGTCCGTGCTCGCGCTGTGCGAGTACACCTCGTGCTGCTGCGGCTCCCCCGGCGGGGTCATCCTCTTCTCCTTTTGTCTTCTGTTACAAAACCAGACGCGAACCACCTCTTTCTCCAGCTGTAGGCTGTCTGCCAAGGAGGAGATCTCCTGGGCGGCGGGCTTGGGGCATTTCAGAAAGTGGGTCTCCAGCACTCCTTTCACGCTCACCTCGATCGAGGTCCGTTTCTTCCTTTTCCGCCCCTGCGCCGCGATCTTGTCGATGCTGCTGGGGCTGCCCGTGGACGAGTCCGCCTCCTCCAGCCACTTGTTCAACAAGGGCTTCAGTTTGCACATGTTCTTGAAGCTGAGCTGCAGGGCTTCAAACCTGCAGATGGTGGTCTGGGAGAAGACGTTGCCGTACAGGGTCCCCAGCGCCAGCCCCACGTCCGCCTGCGTGAACCCCAGCTTGATCCGCCTTTGTTTGAACTGCTTGGCGAACTGCTCCAGCTCGTCCGAGGTCGGCGTCTCCTCGTCCGAGTGGTCGTGGCAGTGGTGGGCGCCGATCTCGGCGTGCTCCGGGGTGTCTCGCAGCCCCGGGTGCAGGCTCTGGGTCTGACCCGATGCCGGGGGAGGCGTCAGCCCGCCATGCTCCAGCATGCCGTTGACCGTGAAGCCAGGCTGCGCGTAGATGTTGATAGGTTGTCCGCCGGTGTTTATGGATGAGTTATGAGCCGCGGTCGCTCCCCACGCACCTGGGTGATTTGTATGAGGCGAGTGATGGGCGACATGAGGAGACCTGTGATGAATGATCGCCCCGAGTTGGAGATCCTCCCGTCCCGGTTTCACGTCCTGCTGCTCCAGAGGGCTGGCGGCTAACGACGTTGCCCAGGGGCTCCCCTCGGTTAAGCTGGTCACCCACTGGTGCCCAAGAGGGTGCCCATTGCTGGGGACCCCCTGTAGGTATTCACTTTGGAGAAGTTTCTGGTGGTTCCTGAAAGGACTGCCTTGCTGCATGACCGGTGCATCTGTGTGAACCATAGAGTTGGAACTGATAATGCTGTAGGGATTCGAGGCAGCTGTGGCCATGCTTGCTTGCTGTAGATCCCCTACTAGTTATAATGTGGCAAAGGGAACCGCTTCAGCCTTTGACATCTACCAGGCTCGGGAGCCAAATCAGAAACCCGTCCCGAACTGGCAGCCCGGCCGCCCAATCGCCGGGGCGCCCGGACACAGGAGTTGCGGCTGCGGCCAATCGCAGCGCAGGAGGCGGGCTCTTCCTCGCCAGACTGGGGGGCTGCCGGGGAGCGAAGAGTTAACTCGACACAAAACAGGAAGTGAGTCAGTCCGCAGGCTCCATTGGGTACCGCTGTGTAATTGACTGTCCATGCTTCACAGATCTTATTAACTATTTCCTAACTTATTTAAGCACGGTTATTACTACTGGCGTTATTTTCTTTTCCTTTAAGAAACGCACATAATCCTTCTTGTCAGGTGGCGGTTCGGTTTTTTTTTTCCTCTCCCCGAGACAGCCCGTAGACAGCCGGAGACTCGCCACCTAATTGCATCGGTCGTTATTAAAAGCAGAAACGATCCGGTTCTGGAGGTGTGTAAGCGCGGTGCTTCTGGGCAGGTAGTTCAGAAAGCCGAGGCGCCCCCCGGCAGTCCGCTCTTGCCCCTTCCTGGGTAAGTCTAGAGCCGGTCGCGAAGGAAGCCGGGCGATATGGCTGAGGGGAATAACGGGCGGAATGGAAATAAACTGGACATCTGGTCAAAGAATTAAAAGAACCGGCCTCTGTTACGAACACGTGGATTTTCTCGAATGAATTATTTAAGAATTTTTCTTCAATTGCAAAAAGCTCAAACGTGCCGCCGCCGCCGATAAGGTCATCCAAATCCAACTGTTTTAGAGAAAAAAAAGGAATTGCGCCCGTGAGAGACAACAATTCAAAACATGAGAAGGTAGCTAAATTACCCCCAAAATAAAAATAAAAACGTGGTTAGCTCCTGGTATTTTTTTTTCTAATAGTACATAATTATATATATATATAAAAAAACATAATTCGCGTTTCTAACTGTGTAAAAACACCGAGACATGAAACCTATTTTTTTTCCCCCAAAACGCACAAATTCCTCCCCACACGCACACCTTTTATCAACGAGAGCCGCGGCTCCTGGAGTCCTCCTGTTCGCCCATCGCTGATTTCAAGCCGCCAGACTGAGCATCTCTTTAAAGCGGGTGTTGCCTGTAGACAACAAGCGTCTTTGTGGTTGCTGTGTAAATTGTGCAAACGGGCGAGCACTTCCTTAAGAATCTCGACAGCTGAAAGTTGAAAAAAGACCTCTGCATATTTCAGAGGTTACCTAGCTGCATAATTATATTTGCCATTAGAAGACTACATCAGAGTCCCCTTATTGGTTTGAAATTCCATTAAATATATTGCAAGAGCTCGCAGGTTAAGCTTGATTTAAATTTGCATACATTTTCATACATTTAGCAGAAATAAAAGAAGGCTAGTAGCCACCAGAAAGTCATTAAAGACTGCGGTTTCTCTAAAGGACACTGATCAGAAGACATTTTTAAAGAAGCTCAAACACTAACAGGTGAGCTTTCTAACCACTGATGATACGAAACTGTAGTTTATTGACGCTGTAAAGGCTTATAAGTGACAGATTCGACTAGCTCGGGTCTGAGCGAGGAACGGCGTGACACGGGGATAAATTTATTCAATATATTAAGTAAACATGGACTGAGGATGTAGGATTTTTCGGAGGTATTTTAAAAAAATACGTTGAACGGGTTCTGTGAAATTAGCGCTCACTGATCGGCGTGTCAAACCTTAGCTGAGGGTCTTGGTGTGTTGTGTGTGGTTGTATGAAATCTTTACTTTTAGTTCTTAACTGCAGCTGCCTGTATTGTATCGCAGGAGCAAGAAACCCGGGGCTTAACTTCACAGCTTTATTTTTTTTTTAATTTAACCGAAAGGAAGCTCGGTTCTTTTTTTCTTTCTATAGTGTCGGAACCCCCTATTTATTTTATTTAAAATATTACGATTTTTTTGCCCTTTAGCTCGCAATTCGCTTAGTTTTTGGAAACCATTAAGGCTTGAATTTAAATTAACGGATTCCACCGATATCCAACATGACAATATTTTTTTTCCCCTCTTAACGCGCTGTTTTCATCCCTTTCTTTTGCGGGTGCTAAAATGCACTTTCAAATAGTTGCGTGTATATGAATGCACGTGGAAACGTACATAGGCTATTCTAAAAAAAATATACTTCTGACATATGTAGGCGACATTAGGGATAGACACAATGGCAAAGGACTGAAGCGCGAGTGTAAATGTAAATAACGTGATTTTTTAAAAAAATGAAATGACGAGCACATCCGGACAGATTGTGTTGTTGATGTTCAATATTTCTAAGATGGAACCGGTATTCCAGAAGTGAATTTAATATCGGACGATGCAGGAGACAAGAGTAAAGAGCTGTTGTTGTTTTTTTGTTTCAGTGCAAGGCGAGCACGACCGCACTTCCCCGAGCCGCGTTCATCAGGCAATGTGGTTTAAACTGCGGGGCTGTTGTGTGGAGGGGTTCCTGTGGGTCTCTCTCGATAGTCTAAGTTTCCAAGTGTAACAGATGCTGCTCTCAAGCCGTTCCTTGTGCGGATTTGCTTTATTCAGCCCCGCATTTTTCTCCCCACGATCCGGGTTTCCATAGAGAACAGAATAAAAGACAACCGCGGCCACGAATGGCCGTCCCAAGCCGAATGAAAGAGCCCCATTCAAGAGAGGCCCTTGCTAGACCCGGTGCAAAATAAGAACCTCCGAAGCTACTGTTACGAGAAACTGAGATTTTTGTAGCTTCTCCAAACGGTGCAACCTTACAGGAGGGGGGGTGGGTGGAAAAAGTCTTCTTGTTTAAGATTTTATTTCGCGTTTAATCTTGGAGCCACGTGTTTCCGTGGAGCCACGGGAGAATTAAACGACGATGTTTAAAGTTAGTTATTCACACGGCCTCTCTCCCCCCAACCAGCGCACATCAATCAATAACACGGTATAATTGGAGATATGCATAACAGAGTTGACGTTCACTGTGAGGTCACTGAAACTGTTACAATCGCCGTGCCGCCTGGAGACGGGTTACAGCGCCCGTGCTGCAGGACACGAGTGACGCCGTGTTCTGGTCACCCCCAAAAGTTTCGTGTTTGGCTGGTGTTTTCATTTAGGTGGAAAAAAAAAATGTTTTATACGAATGCGCGCGTGGATGTCGGCATCCCGTATACGGAACGCGTGTTTGATATTATTTAAAAACAAAAACAACAACAACAACAAGAACTTATTTTTGCTACAACAAATCTTACAGGTGTTCCCCTTGTAAATAAAGGGTACACGCGGACGATTCATCCGTCTCGCTTGCACTGCGCTCAAACCGAATTTTTTTTAAAGCTGCAACAAAATGATAAACTTGATTAAAAAGATACAAAAAAGGTCACAGAATGCGGATGACAGGACACTCGGCTTATTCCGAAAACATATTTATCCACCCTTTTCATCAAAGGAGAGGAAAGCAAAGCTCTTGTCGAACGGATCGCGAAACGCTTCACTGTTTTTATTCAATAACGTCTCATTTGGGCGTTTGAGAGATCAGTCTCTCTTGCGGTACACGCACTTTCCTTTATCCTCGCATCTCACGTCAGTCTTCCGTTTGCACAAGGGTGCATCTTATAGTTGTAGGGTTTTTTTTTTTTTTGTACGGTATGTGACAGCAGATTTGATGCGGTTGTGCGTATCTCGACACCTAGAAGACGGGCCTGCCCCGCGCGTTTAATCCGGCGTGAAGCTCGCGGCCGCCGCTGTCACTCGTGTGTCACGACCTCTCGAGCAGCGCCTGCACCTTCTCACAAAGACCAGCGCGCCCGGCTCGCGACTCCGGAGAGAGGGGCAACTTCATTTAAACAACTCCTACTACTACTACTACTAAAACAGAATTCATATATCTGTCACGTTAAACACGGTACAAAACCCGCAAAAATTAGGCATAAAATGCGGTGTGGTTAACAGGTCTTGCTTTATTAAAAAAAGACTGATAACTTTTTTGTTAATGCGTTTTCTGTCATTTATTTATTTTTCTTTCTTAGTGGTTGTAACGCCTTTCTTTTCTGGGCTGAACAGCTTTACGGAGGAAGACGCTTAATTTGGGAGTCTAAAAATGATAACGCTTTTTTTAAAAAAAAAAAAACAAGTGGTGCTTCGATTATTTTAAAAAATGATCTCTTTGACTTTTTTTTCCCTCCAAATGATTCACGAGTTGTGATCGCGAATAGTCGTTATCTCGGCATTGTTTGTCGCCTTTAAATTGTTAGCGTTGTATTTGTAGGTTTGTGTCTTTTTTTGTGTGGCAGGACCCTCGGTTTTTGCTGTTCTCGCTGGAGAAACGTGCACACAAACCGTCTGCTTTCGTTATGATTTACATTCATCAAACACTAACCTGGGAGGTAAATGTCGACATTTTCTGCCTGATTTTTTTCTTCAATTCTTATATCCCCCAAAATTTCGGATAACAGTACAACAACCAAACATGCGAAATGGAAAACTGTTGTTATTATTTATTATTTATTATTTATTATAATAATAATAATAATAATAATAATAATAATAATAAAAATAAACATTCGTGTTTTGGTGCTTCGAGTTGTCGGTCTCAGTATCTGTGAGAACTGCGCTCAGTCTTGTCGATATCGTATCGAACATCCTGCATTTAGGGTTCATCTGAACAGGGCGAACTTTTAATACGGTGACGTTTCTAAAGACGAATTTTGCTACCTTTTACAGTTAACGATTTTAAAATTCCCTGCAAGAAATACGAGTGTTACCCCCGTGTGTGTGTGTGTGACTGATAGCATGTTGCTCTCTGGGAGCGAGGGGGGGCCCGCGCGAGCGCCGCTCCGGCAGCGCCTGGGGGGGGGTGAGGGGGTCCTCGAGGACGCTTTGGCACGGGGGCTCGGGGCTGCTGGGAGCCGCGCTCGAGCAGAGGAAACGCAGGGGGGAAATGTAGCGCACAAACAGGGCAGAGCCAAGCAACACACACACCCCGCGGCTCGGAGCGGAATGAGATATTTCCTAACCCCTCCCGACCCCCGGCAACTCCAAAA